TTAAGTCCGTTTCATTGGAAGTATTGGGGGGAGTTCCCATAGAAGGATTTCGAGATGATGCATTAGGAGAGATGTGCATACTAGGGAGGAGAAACTGTGAGAAGGCCACGTCAGAATCCATGAGAACGCAGGGATTTGGGAGTTGACCGAAGGGAGCCGTTGCCACTTGACCCTCCTGACCCCCACTTGGTACTGCTACTGCCGCTGCGGCGGCAGCAGCTGCAACAGCGCTGGCTGAACTAAGAGAACACTTCCGACGGAAACCTCGGGGTCGTCTGCGTGATGCACCATCTTGGAACATGAACTCCGCAGTAGGATCAATCGTCCAGTAGTGCCCTTTTCCTGGTCTCCCCATTCCTAAAATCAATTTAAGTTTTATCTAATCACTTTAAATTTAAATCATATTCTTGTATTTATTATATTCGACTCACAACCCAACCTCCAGTTGTTCAATATTCACAGTTCTTTTAGGCATTCGTTTTATCAATTAAATACGTAGATTCAGACTCAGATTTAGTTATATTTGACTTAGTCCATATCAATGATGGTTTTATTAACAAATAACGATAATAGAGGGAATGGATTTTGCGTTTGACTGCACATCAAACAGATTCCACAAAATCTTTCAAATCCTAATAGTGGCGGCCTATATTTGACCCAGAGCTCTGTATTTAGTCAAGATCAGAATAGCCTTCCCTATACAAAAGTCGTAACTTTGTGCCCAAATGAGTTTTTGCCATACTTAAGATCGTATAGATAAATAACTTCTACATGGTATTAATAATGTTGCCATGGCCTGGAGTACTGCTATTATGAAGTCAATTCGCGCTAGTATTTATTTGTTCTTCAAATAACAACAGACTTCTCTCACACCCTAACACCAACATCATTACCGGTGTCACCCTATCCAGGCTTACGTTTACCTCTTCTCCCCCGCCTCCTCACCCTCTCGTCACTATGACTACCTCTGAGGCTTGTTTACACAGTTTTGTCCCCGTTTCATCACACAGCGCACGGTCACACACGTACGCTCGTCGATCGATCGATTGCACAATTGTGCGTCCACCCCTCGTCCGCTCGAGCCTCCGAACGAGCGGAAGCACGCACGCACGCGTTCACATCATAATACGAAGGCAATGTGTGTATGTGTTTGTGCGTTTTGTACGGACACCTCCGTCCTCTCCTCTCCCTAGGTGTGTACGCTAGACATGTGAACGCATGCAACCTGTGAATACTTCAGTTAGTTTTTTGTTTGTCTAGCATGTCTGGTAAATCAGTAAGAGAGGAGAGAACTCACCTTTTGGTAACTTTATAAACACTTCGTTCAGCGAGAGGTTGTGTCGCACAGAGTTCTTCCATCCCGTATAACTGCCTCGGAAGAAGGGATACTTACTATGCAGGTATTGGTAGATCTCACTTAGCGTGCAACGCTTGTTCGGTGAGGCTCTGATCGCCATTGCAATCAACGCAATGTAAGAATATGGCGGTTTCTCTGAACGTCTACCACTGTCTAGAAGCCATATGAAGTAACCGTTAGTCCTAAAAAGTTTCATTAACCTCAATAGAGTCCTTAGAATGGAGCAGTGGAACGGGCTAGACTTTCGTGATCTGAGATGACTACAATGATAAGGATAGGATAGGATAGGATAGGATAAACCGAACAAAGCTTGCAAGTAATGATTTCATAGCGAAAGTGTCATTTGAGTTGAACATTCAATTCTCTCTGAGGCTAAGCGTATTAAGAAAAAACTTAATCACCGCAATATTTCGATGATTTCTTTATTTATAGTTGGTTTAGTTAAAAAGTCTGACTCACAGATACTAATATCTCATGCTTTCCAAAAGCCAGCTAAATGCACCATCACATTTGAAATCGTTAAAGGATTGCTAGGCAAAATCGGGACAAAGAAACGAAATCCATGTGTTGTTTGAACATTCAAAAC